TACCGAGTTGCAATACGTTATTTCATTATATCAGGAAATAGTGACTTTGCTGCCTTGAGGACACGATTGCACTCGGGCTGAGACAAAGAGACGTCTGTTGCAATCTGTCATGTCACTACGATATAGGCGGAAGAAGTGATTCCTATCGACAATGGCAGCTGAGCAAGCAGCAGAGAACAAAGGAGATGAGCGCGATTTAAACTTATATTTCCTTGCGGGGATGAAGGCCCCAATTCCAGCTTTTATCCAGGAACAGACCTCGTAAGCGCATTCTTGAACGGGAAGATTAAAGAGCACATCCAAGGAGACATCGCGAAGGAAATTCCGGAAAGAGTGCCAGTCTGCTCGTTAATAGCAGAAAGATGTTCTGTTGGCAGGAGCTTCTTGGCTGGGGGTGGAGTAGGAGATGTTGACAGACACTACAGCATGATCAGAGTTGCTGAGAGGGCAGAGCTACGTGGCGCGACAGGACTCGGTGATGGAGGTGAAACAGAGTTTGAGAAGTGAAGCCTTACCGTCCAGGTTGTTGGGGAAACGGGAAGGAAAGTCGACTATTTGCGTGAGCGATTGAGAAATAGAAAGGCTAAAGGTTTATATGCCAACCAGGTCAGTTATAGAAAGTTTAAGCCACTTGGTATGGTGAGATTTAAAGTCCCTGAACACGAATATGAGCAAACGGATGGGGAGAGATAGACTTGTCTATATTGTCGGAAATGCTTTTTGAGTACACCACAGTCTTGTGAGGATAGAGAGCGATAGAGGAAATAAAGGTAGTTTACAGAATTGAGGAGAGATAGACGGAGATATATATATATGAATGGTCTGGAAATTCCAGAGAGAGAAAGAGAAAGAGAGAGCTCTTGACGTAAACTCCAAGGCCGTGTATGTGGGTTTCGGAGACGTTTCTATGAGAGGAAGATAACCGGGGATCGAGAAATCAGAGGAGAGGATAAACGAGCCGAGGTTGGTCTCGCAGAGAGCCAGTATATCAGAAGATTTAATAAGGAACGATTCCACACTGTAGAAGTTGGTTCGAATACTACGGATGTTAGAAAAGAAAATGTTAAAGGGTTTAAATGATTTTTAAGAGCTGGTTTAGGTTTAGTGATCACTAGTGATGGCAAATTTATACCTACGTTTACCTCCCCACATGGCCTCAGAATCAACACAGAGGCCGACATCAAGTGCCTTGAGGAGGCAATTCTGCGCTCGGCCAAGAGCGTGCTACTGGAAGACCCTATATCTGGCGACAGGAATCTGCCCCATGCCACAAAAACAGAAGACAGTAATAGGACAATTTCTGGGACCATGTCACACCTTACATCTAGCCACGTATCACTCCAGAATGCAACCGCGTTGAGTATTATGTGCGTGGCGCATTGAGCGAAAAACTAACAAATCTTCACGAAACGCCAAAGTTTTACTGAAGGCATGTATCATGGCAGCATTCAACGACTTAAGCAAGGAGACCGCTCAGAAAGGTTGCAGGAGATTCCGAAGTCTTCTGGAGGATATGGTTGAAGCCAATAGCGATATTCTTGAATAAATCTACTCTTTAGTATTTCAAAACATTTCTGTGTAATTTCAGTAATTTACTGTTTAGTATATCAAGATATTTTGGTGCAATTTTCGTAAAGATATCAGTTAAAATGAGATAACATTTTTATTTTCATTTCTGCGGCGTTTACACGACAATTTATTCATCGCATCCTGTATATTGGAAAACGTTAGAATTATTAGAATCTCCCTACTTGTACATTAGTTACTTATTCAGTTGGTTTTAATTTACACTACTTACATTATTCAGACTATTGTCCTCATCTTTGTCGCCATATTTATTACAACGTTTCGGCCCTTGTACACCCCGGTCTTCTTCAGATGGTTGGAATGACGAACTGAACCCTTTATTTCGCTCACTGGGGTAGACTGTTCTAGTTTCCACGTGTTTTGTTTAATGGATTACAGTTATCTCCTGTTAATTCCCCTCTGAAACATCTCTAACAGGAGATAACTGATATCCATTAAACATGGCATACAGGGTACAGTTCGACATTCCAACCACCTGAAGAAGGTCGGTGCGTACACGACCGAAACGTTGTGATAATTATGGCAACAAAGATGAAGTCAATCGTCCGAACAATCTAAATAGATTACATAATATCTCATCACAGAAATATAGACAGATACTGAAGGGACGAAACGTTGTGATAAATATGGCTACAAAGATGAGGACAATAGTCCGAATAATATAAATAGTGTACATAATACTTCATCTCAGAAATATAGACAAAAACTGGTTTTAATTTATATGGAAGCCATTTACACGACAATTTATTCATCGCAACCAGTATATTGGGAAACGTTAGAATTATTATGATTTCATTACTTGTTCATTATTTATTTGTTCAGTTGGTTTTAATTTATATGGAAGCCAGAATATGAATGTTAGTACCATAACTGAATGATTATTTCGTCTCACGATTGCTTAGTGGGGAAGACAGTGGGACTGACACAAAACGATTTAATCAGTTCTCTTTCAAATAACTCAAAGTGTTTTTTCCAGTTATTCTTGCGATAAATGGAGTCAAGATGTCTAAACGTTATCTGAAAACCCGGGAAAAAAATGAATTAGTTTAGTTGTATATAAATTTATTTTGCTAAACGTTATTTTTTATGGTACTCAATTATTAGTTGAAGGTCTGTTTTATTTTTATCCAAATACCTCTACCAACATGTAAAAATCCTGTCGGAGGATGCATATTCTTCTGACAAGATTTCACAAATATTCAGTCCGGGAGATGTAGCTGAATAAATAATATTGCTTATTTGAAAACATAGATTCTACTCGAATATAGAGTATCCACAAAAGTTACATTTGAACAAAATAGATTAATAATGTCGGATTTAATCCATTTCATATATATATATATATATATATATATATATAAAATATATATATATATATTAAAAATACACATATACCTACGTTTGGTGTGCGACTCGAGTTTCATTGATTACCCAACTTATCGGGCACAATATATAGCTTATTGTTTATTTAAAAAGAAGTATAGAGATGTTCATGAGATGACCGCTGATTCATAGTTAAAACTTAAAATAGCACAAAATTAGTACTAAATCAATAAATTTAATTGCAGGAAATAAAAAGACCTCTAATCGGTTGTGAACTGGGGCAGGAATTGCCTGGTTAACTGCAACGCCTCAAAAATAAAACTGCTCTCTATTACTCATCACAGGGAACCATCCCTGTCCCATGCATTAGAATGTCAGAAGCCCATCTTCTCCAGAGTGCCTCTTTGCGACTACTCGGTCTCACATTGACTGCTGACCTGAGATGGAACAAATACATTGAGTCAATAGCTTCGATCACCGCAAGGAAATATGGCTCCCTGTGCCGAGCCAGGAAATTTTTCTCGCTGGACTCGATCCTTCAAATCTACAAATCAACCATTCGCCCATGCATGGAGTATTGCTGCAATATATGGTCTGGAGCCCCTTCTGTTTGTCTCAAGATACTTGATAAAATCCAGTAACGGATATGCAATGTAATTGGACCTGATTTCACCTGCAGTCTCTCTCGCACACAGGTGCCGTCGCATCCTACTGTTTTTTTTTACAAATATTTTCATGATAAATGCTCCGATGAACTGCTTTCGATGGTTCCCAGACTTCATGAATTTAAGCGTTTTTCTAGGCTGACATCTCGCTCCCACCCTTTCACTGTCGGAACTGTTAAATGTAGCAGTCTCTTCTACTCCAATAGCTTCATGTCTCGCACCTCTCGCCTGTTGAACTCCTTTCCCTTTTCCTCTTTCCCTGATAGCTATAATCTCCAACTATTCAAATAAAATGTCAATCGATGTCTCCAGATGCCTTGATCTATCCCCTATCCTTCTCTTCATCCTTTCCTCTATCACTCCTATTTGCTCTAGCTCCAACTCTCTGTAACCCCTTGCGTGCTAGTGGCTTCCCGCCTTGCTTGGGGTGATACGCTTAAAAAAATGAGGTGTAGTAATGAGTCAATGATAGAAAAAAAAGTGAAAAGAAAGGTAAATTGTGGTATGCTTAAAATTTAGAATTTGAACGCTGGACGCTGTTCGTAAAAGACGTTTGACTGGTTAAAGGGAGATAATCGTGTATGACCCGAAATAAAAATTTGGCGGAATATTTAAATTTGAAATTATATCAAGACGGAAAGTGGGTTAACCAGGATTACAATATTTTAAGAGAAAGGTATTCTGTGCATGCAACTAGGCATAAGCACATTTCGTTTAATTAGTAGATTTGGATTATTAATATATTTTAGGAAGAATATTTTTGATGCAAACATAGATTGGGGGGTGCAGGTGCAATTTATGTTTACTACAAAAAATATTCATCGAAAAAATATTAACATGTCAGATTTAATCCATTTCCCCAATATATATATATATATATATATATATATATATATATATATATATGTGTGTGTGTGTGTGTGTGTGTGTGTGTGTGTGTGTGTGTGTTTTATGTGTTTGTGTGCGTGAAATGGATTAAATATACATATATAATATTTATATATATATATATATATATATATATATATATAAATGCGTGTGTGTGTGTCTCTATATTTGTCTCTTTGCCAGTGTGTTCCTGTGTTTGTAATCTATATCAACATTACGGGGGAAAATGTTTTACAGCTCTGATAATCAGCATTCTAAATGCTGGCTTTTTGCACTCGGCTCGGATTATCAAATAGTGTTGATATTCTCACCTCGCTGAGAAGTTTGGGTATTTTCACGCCAATCGACTCTATATTAATGTATATGAAATGCAGAATTACCCAACGTTGATTTACACATCCGTTAATAATCATATGAAAAATCTCTAGCCACACTACATTATGTTTTTGTTAAACGTTAAACTAAAGCAGCATAATGCATAAGGAATGGAAACAGAAACATATATAAACAGACTTAGCAAGCTAGCTATATAGGTACTTACGTAGATAGATAGATAGATAGATAGATAGATAGATAGATAGATGTGAACAGAGATAGATAGATAGATAGATAGATAGATAGATAGATGTGAACAGAGATAGATAGATAGATAGATAGATAGATAGATGTGAACAGATAGATAGATAGATAGATAGATAGATGATGATAGATGTAGATAGATAGATAGATGAATAGATAGATAGATAGATAGATAGATAGATGTGAACAGAGATAGATAGATAGATAGATAGATAGATAGATGTGAACAGAGATAGATAGATAGATAGATAGATAGATAACATAGATAGATAGATAGATAGATGTAGATAGAGATAGATATAGATAGATAGATAGATAGATAGATAGATAGATAGATAGATAGATAGATAGATACGTTGAAAATCGAAGTCGTACCACTGAATGTTTATTATTTATTTCCGATGCATTTATGACTGAAAATGTACCACAAGAATTTCCCCCAAAGATGCAACCGAAAAATAAGAAGATGAAAAAAAAAAGAATTTGAGGGGAAATTAAATGGCGAAAGAAAGAATCAATCGGAAGATGAAAACTAAATATCGAAGAAAAGGTGTAAGTTGAGAAAACCAAATCTGATTACTGACGTAAAAAAATGGAAAGGATTAGAAATCATCTATAATATAATCATCATGGCAGTGAAATGAACGGGAAATTAAGTGCAAAAATGAAGAGAAAAATATAGAAATAAAATAATAAGAAAATCAGATTTAGCCATATTCTGGTGGGTTTTGCGCTTGAACTTATTAAGCAAAGTTGGTGAGTGATGTCGTGCTCCAAATAACGCAGAAAATTCCTTCTTTTCATTTAATTATCCGGACTTGAACTAACACATGGCTGATATATACTCTGTGTCAAGCAAAGTAAACAGAGGCAAATAATTATTTAATGATTTTTAATGATATTGGTTCAAATACAAACTCTTCCATAACGTACTCTTTCGTTTTGGGCCCTCTGAATGTTCAGACGTGAAATAAAAACCTTGCTAACTTACAATGCAATATCCAGTTGCGAATATCGGTGGCACGCAGACATGTACACTTTTTTTGTTTCGTATATTTCCAATGAAACATGACCCAGAGAACATGTTTGTACTTCGTATGCCCATTCAACAAACTTGTTCCTTGCAGAGTGTCCACAGATTCTCAATTGGTTTTAAATCAGGAGAGTTTTCGGTCAGTCCATAATACTTTCATTTGCTCACTGGTAAGGATTCTCAGTTGGTTTTTGCAGGGTTAAAATTTTCGTACGCTTCCTTGGAGCAACATATATCTCAGACAATGGACGTAGGACAACTAATCGACAATCGAGACGCTAGTTTCTGAGCGGGATAAAAATCTAATGCAATCACTGACGAGGCAATATTTTTCAAGGCTAAACAAATTTCATCATACATCCCGAAAATAGATTCATATTACTGCACACTACTGCAAATGACATAATTTGAGGAAAAATAGAAATCGATTACACACTCTCATTCTAGTGCGTTTAAAACTGACCGAGTGGTGAAAGAAAGAAAGCTAACGCGATTATTTCAATTGATATACACAAGGGTGTAAGACAGAATTTGGGGCTATTTTTCAAATGAACGTTTGATAATTTAACCGTAGTGATCTTTGTATAGTTGAAAATTAATTTCCATGTTCTACGTTCATTTTACACTAAAGAAACACACAGATAAACAAAGTGAATGTTAATTTTATTGTTCAACTCTTTACATTTATTTCAAGTTCATAACTATTAAAAATACGTCACATATTTACAGTAAATATTATACCGATCCTAACATCAAATTCCAAAATAGTTAAAATCCATATTAATATTCCGTCTGTCGTCTTTAGACAATAGCACTAACCTATAGACCCATTTACTTTTGACTATATAATGAACACCGTACCGTGATACCTAATTCCATGCCTCATGCACATAGTGAAGCTATGCTGCAACGGAATCGGCAATCATTTGCAGACCATGTTGATTAGGTCAGGAATCCTACAGACAGGTATTATACTGCTGAAACAAAACATCGTTTGTTTTTCTTCAAGGAATGACAGCAGAACGGATTAAACTTTTTTTTTAGTGCAAATATCGTTGTTCAAAATCGCTTCCACAAATACTAAAGACGACAGAATATTGCTTCTTAAGGCATCTGCACTCTGATGCTAGAAAAGAAATTCCAATTTGGTAACTTTTGATCTTTGCCGTCTACTTCGGCAATCCTTAAATCGATCGTAGAAAGTGTATGTATCATGGGCCTGTCGATAAATCGTCTATGGATGTAGGAATGTTGGTTTGAACACTTGTTGAATACATCGAAACACAACAAGTTATTGAACATGACAGTCCTGTCCCCTAGAGGCTAACAACTGGATTCCACTCAGACGGCTCTAATTGGAGCAATCGAGTGCGTGTGTATCTTTATACGATGATATGTGTAGACACTAGAATCTTTCATCTCAGTGAAAATTATTACAACGTGCGTCATCCTCTAAGTAAGTCTGATTTAGGAGAATAATGTTCGAAAAGAAAACACGTAAGCTGACATTAATCTAACGATGGAAGAGGTCTAATTTCTATGGATAATTTATATATATCCATTATAAAATAATTACATAAATAAGGAAACAACGTTGGTTGCTGGTGAGATTAATAACAATGTGTTAGCCACAAGACATGTTTAGACTAAGGCAGATAAATACATATGAACAGACTGAGTGGCTTGTTTATTTATTTGGGTTAATTTACTTTAGTTCTTTTTATTTTCACTTTTTTATTTTATATATTTATTTATTCTCTTCGGTTGTCGATGTTTTATTAACGTAGTTAAATATTTTGGGGTATTTGCATAGGTCGCTTTTTTAATAGTTCCTTTTGGTCTGGGAAGATAATTAAAGCTATTTACTCTTCCAATTTTAAGATTGATTGCCGTAGTATATTCGGTTATTTTGGCGGGGACTGTTTCTAATTTGTTTATTATTTATTTATTTATTTTGTTTATTGTTTTTGCTTCTTTATGTATATTTTTATTTGTTCTAAAGGTTATTTTACCGGGAGCGATTTGTTAATTTGTTTATTTATTTTTTATTTGGATCAATTTTTACTTGCTTTTTCTTATTTATTTACTTTTTTTATATTTTGTATATCTTTATTTATTTATTCGGTTTTCGATTTTTGAATAACGTAGTATTTTTTATCGTTATCTACCAGTTATAGCAATTTTTCGAACTATTTTTGGATTCATGCTTGCAGTCTATTCTAAAAGTTATTTTTGCGGGACTACTTTGATAATTTCTTTTGATTAGTAAGGCGCAGGTATTTATCACACTAAAAGACCACAAAGGAAATTTCAAAACCAAACCTGCATGCAGACTCATGAACCCAACTAAATGTGAACTAGGTAAAATAAGTAAAATGATACTAGAAAGAATTAATTCTAAACTAAGGAAGAAGTTACGAGTAAATCACTGGGAAAACACAAAAGCAACTATTGACTGGTTCCACAACATAAATAAGATACATAATTGCCAGTTTATACAATTAGACATGAAATAATTTTACCCATCCATATCAGAAGTCATTCTAGATAAAGTCATCACGTTAGCATAGGAAAAAAAGTAAAAATAAACACCAAAGAAATCTATATCATTAAACACTCCCGTAAATCACTACTATTCGACAATGAAGATGCATGGATAAAGAAAGAAGGAATCTTTGGCACTACAATGTGAAGCTTTGAGGTTGCAGAATCATGCGAAATCAGAGGTATATATTTACTATATGATCTAAGTAAAATAATAGATAGAAATGATGCAGGACTCTACAGGGACGACGGTCACGTAATCTTAAGAAACTATAACAAACAAAACACAGGCAAGGCTAGAAAAGCAATAATAAAGATTTTTTTAAAAAAAATAACGGATTTAACATATAAAAACTAACCTAAACGAAGTAGATTTTCTAGATGTTACCTTCAGCCTAAGAAAACGCACATATAAAGCATACAGAAAACTCAATGATAAACCACCTTACATAAACACATCTTCCATTCACTCGCATTCAATAATCAAACCAAAACCAAAGTCGATTAACCGCATGCTTTCCGACAATTCTTGCAATGTAATCATATTTAACGAAGCTAATGCTACAGAACAGTCCTAAAAGATAGTGGATTCCCGACACTCACATACTCCAACAGAGCACTAAAAAGGCCAACAGGTAAAAAAAAATCTTATAGTTCAATACACTGTACAGCAAAAACGTAAAAACAAACGTAAGTAAAATACACTTCAAACTCTTAAACACTTCGCGGAATCATGCACTCTACACAAAATATTCAATAAAAACACTGTAAAAATCAGCTACAGTTTCACCGAGTATATGGAACAAATAATAAAAAATGGACAATAGGAAATCACTAAATGAACCACTCGAACAAATTAAACCCATGTGTAACTGTAGAATAAAGAATGAATGTCTTTTAAACAGTAATTGCATATAAAAAAAACTCAATATACTAAGCCGCGGTAGAATCACCAGATAATGAAGGAAAATATACACAGGATTATCTGAAAGTCCCTAGAATCAAATAAACTCTGCACACAAAACATATTTCATAAATAGTAAATACGCGAAGAGTACAATGTTTTCAAAGTGTATCTGGGAAATTAAAAACAAAACACAAATCACACCAAAAATATCTTGGAAAATAATGAAAACTTCATGAGCCTACCACAATCAATCCAAAACCTGCAAATTTTGCTTGGAGGAAAAAATAACTATTATTACTTCCCAAGACCGAATTAAATTACTGAATAAACGATCAGAGCTCATCTCAAAATGCCGTCATGAAAACAAAATTTTAATACATTACTTAAAATAGAAAAATGGAATGAATAAAGGAAAATAAACAAAATAATATAAATCAAGTAAAATAAATTAAACCCAAAAACTAATAAATAATAAACAATAATAGAATAGACGAAATAGAATAAATAAAAATCAAAAAATAAATACATGAAAAAAAAAGTAAAAATAATCAACCCAAATAAATGAAGTAAGTAATAATTATAAACAAATTCTGAAACCAATCACGTCAAAGTAACATTTAGTATAGACTAAAACACTCAATCCAAAAATTAGTCGAAAAAATAACTATAAATGCTATATAACGATAAAAAATACTGCGTTACACAAAAATCGAAAACCGAATAGAGTAAATAAAAATATACAAAATAAAAAATAAATAAATAAAAAAAGGAAGTAAAATATTAATCCAAATAAAAAATAAATAAACAAATTAACCAAACGATCCCGCTAAAATAACCGTTAGAACAATTAATTATGAACACGGATAAGTAAAAACAAGTAAAAATAATTAATCCAAATAAATAAATAATAAACAAATTAAAACCTGTCTTCCGTCAATAAAACAGAATAGATTACGACAATCTAAAAATTGGACGAATAGGTAGTTTTAATTATCTTCTCAGATCAAAACAAACTATTAAATAAGTGACCTAAGCAAATCCCTCAAATATTTTACAACGTTAATACATCGAAAACAAAAAAGAATATATAACTATATAAAATAAAAAATAAAAATAAATTAACACAAATAAATAAATAAGCCACTCCCGCCAAAATAACCGCCAGAATGGTTTACCCGTACATCACTGACCCATATATATAAATAGTCGAGAAAAAATTCATCAATAGTGGCCTAACGACTGCATCTAGCATGAAACATCCTGTCGCCTCTGAGTGTTAACTTCACTGTTCACTTTTATATATATATATATATATATATATATATATATATATATATATATATATATGTGTGTGTGTGTGTGTTTGAATAAAAAACAGACAACTTTAAGGTCCCATGTAATAAATTATTTCACCACAGCCCTTATAAAGGGCTCTGGATCATCAGACTTCACTTCCAAAGGTTTAAATGAAAATTTATTACATGGAACCTTAAAGTGGTCTGTTTTTTATTCAAACATATTTGCTCTAAAGATACATTGAGCTCTCCGGATATCATCCTCCTTGAGTCTACCCATACGGATTACCTAGTTTTGCATAAACTATATATATATATATATATATATATATATATATATATATATATATATATAGAGAGAGAGAGAGAGAGAGAGAGAGAGAGAGAGAGAGAATGAGAAAGATATGAAACAACAGATATAAATAGATAGATAGATATATGAAAAACTGATATCTATCTATCTATCTATATATATATATATATATATATATATATCTATATATATATATATATATATATATGCATATATATATACAAAGATAGATATGAAACAACAGAAATAGATAGATAGATTGCCATAAACGATATGTATATAATGATAAGATATATACTCTGCTAGAGAGAGAGAGAGAGTGAGAGAGAGAGAGAGTGAGAAAAAATGATGAGTGTTTTAAATAGATGTTTATATAATATATAAAAATCGATATATTGATAGATATTGACTTGATCAGGCACATCTATATGTAATATCGTTGCGGGGCAAGACGGACATCAAATAATTCACCACATGATAAAGGATAACTTCTTTTTTTCTCCTCAATAAACATCCGTTTGTTTTTCGACACAGGATTTTCTATGAATGCATCTAAGTGAAGCTCTGAATTTAAGCGCAGACATGTATGTCTACGCGATTTATTTCCTTTCCAATGACGACATTTTTATTTGTTGAATACATCACGGAAAACATTGAAGGTGATTTGACTTTGGAAATAACCTTGCTTGGATAGAACTTGACTGGGATCAGCAAGGTTGTCGATGCTTCGTATGTTGTTTGAACCCGTGCAGAATGAAGAATATTGGAACCCACTTGAGTCTAAGAAAGATTTTCATCATATTTCTTCAAATGTTTCCAGAAATTAGATTTCTGTCACGTCTATCAAGCTACCACCGTGTCAAGTCGCAAGCAACATTCAGCGATGTTCGCTTTTTATGTATTGCCTGCCAAATTCACGGGCAGTGGAAACTACCGACTCGAAGAATGCACCAAACATTACAGTTGTTTTGAAAATCCTGAAGTTCAATTTATAACAAAGTTTGTAGAAATACTAAAATACATTATTTGTGGGGAAACGATCGACATAGTTCAGAAGTAAAACATTCATTCTTTGAGGGTCTTATATAAAGTTATAAAAATCGATTTGAGATGTTTATTTATCATATTTCTTTTTTCTCTTTTACACTGTGCAAACAAGGGCTATTCCATCCGGTTTAATTGTTATCACGTTTTTCTCGGTAGATCAATTACAGCCGAGTAGTGAATACTATCCTTACCTCGTGCTCCATGATTTCAGCCTTGTGCCACAAGTAAATCGCACTTAATAAATAGCTGTACGTTGTACAGAAAAAATATCTGATCGTTTTTTGAAGAGGGAGTAGGTTGTTTTTCATGCATATTTCGTTAGAAAATATTGAAAAAAATAGATTAATGTTAACAAAAGTATGTACGTATAAGGACAAACATCCGGTTATTGACTTCAAATTAAAATGATTATTCGATATTATTTTAATGTTGGTTATGAAGTTTTCAAAGCCGAAAACCTAAATATATATCAATATTAAAAGAAAACATCAAGAAAAGACCTTTTCTTCAGAATTAAAAAAGGCAAGTTTGAATAAAACGGTACAATAAAATGAAAGGAATTTTCCAAAATGTTTGCTATAGATACGATCATTTGCTTTATAATTTTAATTTCCCATACTGAATAGGAAATAATAAGAAAATAGTGTTAAAATTTATGCAATATCGTTTCTACTGTATGTTAGTGAATGCTGTACAATCTCACAAGTAAAATCGACACATGAGCCCCGAGACTTGCTCATGCCCATTAAGTGTGTCCCGTTGCTTTCCCGTGTCCATTTTTCCTCCTATACGTCCTGTGAGTATCAGATTTTCCAAGCACTCCTTCCTCAATACATTCCCCAGAAATTTCGATTGCTTCTTCCTGTGGTTAATTATACGTTTCCGTTTTGTTTCCATTACCTCCAAAACCTTGTTTTTGCTCACTGGTTCGGTCAATTCTGTTCTCATCATCTTTCTGTAGATTCACATTTCTCTTGCTTTCCGTCTCTTCGTCATCTTTGAGGAGATTGTCCGTTATTCGTTAGACTGTAAGAAAACACAATTTACGTAGCAGTTCAGTGCACGTTTCTTTGTTTCTAACAACTTTTGTCACTCTCTTAATACTCTGTTTAGCGTTTGGTATGCATTTTGGCCATCCCAATACGTTTTCGGATGTCAATGTCGCACTTTCCGTCCTCTGTTAGAACACTTCCTACATATTCAAATTCTTGATCCTGCATGATTTTAGTATCCCCGACATGTAATTTGCATTTTGGGCTCACCCTTTTGCAGATAACAATGCATTATGTTTACTTGTAATTGATGCTTAGTCCCTTCTTCTCACTTTCCTTCAATACATGCTGTAGGGGGGGTTGTAATTTCTTTTCTGTGACGCCTATCTGCACTATGTCATTTGTATATCTTATTTTGTTAAGATTGTGGCCGCTAATAAAGTACCTGGTAGGACTTCTACTTCTCTCAGAATTGTCACGCTGTCGAATAAATCCGGTTCACAATGGTTTGCGCCTGGTTTCTTAATTATTGCTATGAAAGTAGATTTGCTTATATCCTTCGGTATATCCCCACTGTTGTAGATATAATTCATTATTTCGTGATCTTGTCTATGGCGAAATCGTCTACGGTTGCCAGTATTTCTATTACAATTCCGTCTGGAACTGACTCTTCGCTTCTGTTCAATTTGGCCAGTGCAGCTTCCACTTCGGTTTTTAATATTTCAGGTCCGTCGGGATTCTGTATATTGGCAGCCATTCTCTTATGGCTTGGAAGTGTTTTCCTATACATTCGTTCCATCTCTGAATTATTTTCTCTTTCTCTCATATCATCATTCTGTCCTTGAATTTTATGCATCCTGTTGATGACATGTCTTTTGTATTGTTAGTTCCCTCATATTTTTTATGGATATCTCCGTTATCTGTGATACTCATTCTTTTTCTTTCTGTATACTTTTTGATGAGCCATTCGTCTTGAGGCAGTCTACATTTGTTCCTTATTTCCTTGTATATTTTTTTTGTATTCTGTTCCATGTCTTAGTATTGTTTTCTGCAAGAAGATTCAAAAAGAATTTCGCTGAGAATCACGAGTGCACGTGTCCTGAATAGACACGGCACATAGAAGAGAAAATGTATATTTTTTTATCTGCCCAAGAGAATGTCCAAGATGCTGCTTGGAGAGAAAATATATAGGAAATGTTTTAACAAACAATGTATAATGTGACACCATAATCAGAAGGTGCATTGGAATAATAAAACGATGTTTTCCAAAAATTACTCAAGTCCTAAGACACAAAAGATTTTTGTTACTTACAAAGAAAAGTGTGCTGAATAGCTAATGTGGCAGTGAATTCCAATTTTCTCAAATATCTATACCAGACTTCAATAAGGAGAAAGAAGAAGAAGAAGAAGAAGAAGAAGAAGAAGAAGAAGAAGAAGAAGAAGAGATTCTTAATGATGTTGCTGCATATCGTTTTTCCCAATCGGAACTAAATTATTTAGTTCGTGATATCAACTAGTCAAGGTACCCTGCTGAACGGTTGGCATCCAGACTGGGGGAAAATCCCTCTAAGACATGACCGTCTACCACACTGTACTGATATTGCTTAGCTTCTGCACAAAATTGTAATGTCACAGTATGAACCCAAACATTGTAAATTGTTCACTGACAGCATCAAGCGATCACTGAAATGTCTTGTGCTACCCAATGGTAACCAGCTTGCCTGTGTATCCCTCGCTCATTCGACTAAACTGAAGAAGAAATATGATGCACTGATTTATTTGCTGAATAATATTCATTATGATCAGCATAAATAGTTTATTTACGTTAACCTGAAGATGGTGTTAATTTTTGTTGGGACAAAATTCCGACTTCATCAAGTATTCAAGATTTCTGTGCAGGTGAGATAGTAAGGATATTGCTCAACATTACAAACAAAAGGACTGCCCTGTTCGCGAGGAACTCATGCCTTACAGAGCAACGAACGTCATAAATAAACCTCTGGTGTACAGAGAAAGGATACTTTTCTCACCACTGCACAACAAGTTCGGCTTGATCAATCCGTTCACTAAAGCTCTGGATAAAGATGGTGGCTGCTTCACTTACTTGTTCCAGGTTTTTCCAGGATTGCCGTTGGAGGAGATGAAAGCTGCTATCTTTGATTGTCCTCAAATCAGTCAGGTCATCAGAGATGCAAAGTTTGAAAATTCAATGTATGATGTAGAACTGGAAACATGGAAGGCTTTTGTTCTGGTCGTAAAGAACTTTCTTGTCAACAATAAGGCCAGGAACTGCGCAGACATTGTCATCAATATGCTGATTCCTTTCAGATACTTGGATGCAACATGAACATCAAAATGCATTATTTATTCTCAGAAATAGATCGGTTTCCTGAGAATCTAGGACCAGTGAGCGACGAAAAGAGGGTGAGATTCCATTAGGACAGGAAAGAGACGGGGACCAGAGAACAGTGGCGCTGAGATGCAGTCATGATAGCTGATTACTGCTGGATTTGAAGAGATTCACCCCTGACGCTGATCAAATAAACGGAATTTTAGGACATGAATGTTGAACATGCAATTTATATGTACATGCATTTATCAATGTATACTATTTAATTTATTGTAATCGATCTTTGTAACATTTAATTAATGAATTCTGTTACAAAACATTTTTGATCTTAAAACTTGTGAGAATTATTAACATAATCCAATCGATAATGTCAAAAAATTTAATCGATTTAGTCAGAATTTCGGGTTTTTAAAAATTCAACTATGACCTGATCGAGAGAAACAGATGTCAATTTCGATATAGCGCTGAAAAATTGTCCTAAATCATTTGTTAAAACATAGACAACTACAAAAATATTTTTTTGTTGCCCAGTATAATTATATATATATATATATATATATATATATATATATATATATATATATATATATATAGAGAGAGAGAGAGAGAGAGAGAGAGAAGGAAGGGAAAATATATATAGAGAGAAGAGATAGCTAGATAGATACAGGATGTGTAATTGACTGGCCCTTTGAAAGTAAAGTGTGTTTACCTGGTCAATATTAGATTCTTTCTCCTTCAGAATATTTCTCTTATGAAATCCAGCACTTCGAAATACGATGGGGCCATTGCCGGAAATACACTTGTAATTCGTTTTCCGGAAAATATTATCAATTTTGGGGTCTTGTCAGGAATATCAGAAAATCTTTATCTGTTCAAATCCCTGTTCCACTTTGGTAATAGCCTTAAATCACATATAGCTAATTCTAATGAATAATGTTTTTCGGAAAATTTATTATCAAACTTTTTCTAACGTACCAAGCATAAAATAATTGTTATGGGGAGTATTCAGATGCAGTAGGTTTTAATCTAATAGATTTTCAGAAGCCATTCAACATTTCAAGATAAATATGTTGATTGATAATTTACCCTAATTATAAGTAAAATCTATGTCTAAATAATCAAAAACAAAAATAGACAAAAGTTGTCTTAAATTGTGACATGATTTTTTTTTATTTTTTTACTGCTAGTCATTCTCTGGTTTTTCCTGCATGTTGTGATGTTTTCCGGGATTTATTTACGACATGCCATCACATCATTCCTGAATGATTGGTTATACAAGATAACAGGTGAAATCGTCAGTGTGTCTGCTCATTAATCATAATTCGTATTAATATCTTCGAGAAAATGTTCTCCTTCTCATCTACTGTTAGAATACTAAGACTAACGTCCAAAGGAGCATAAAACATTTTCATAATTGTTCTCCAAAATTCTTGAACGTAATTGTTTATTACACCTTCATCCATAATACGCACCCCTAAAATTGTGCTGAAGGTGTGGGAAAATTCTTCTACTCACCCATAATACGCAAACCTGGTATAGTAATCAAACCCTATAAATTGTAGCTCTCTAATTTCATTAAGGGCAGCGTTTAGTACTCTTATTAAAATGGTTTTAAACATAGAATAACAATGTTCTTATTTAGTTTTATGATAATTCTTATTTTATTCTATATTTGTAAGTATTGGTAGGTATATATGATTGTATTTGACATACTTATGGGGTCGCGATCGCCGAATGTTAGTCTCAAATTTTTGTATGTTTGTGGTGAGTTGTTAAGATATTGAGTGATTTGGTTTCTGAATCTCGCGTTAGTTGAATTCGTCACTAGATGAGTTGATGTTGAAATGAAATTGAATTCCACAAGCCGGGGTTGATGTTAATAAAAATGAACTTTTGGCGAGGAACTTGTGTTTCAATGATTCATGTGACGAGTTGATTATTTTATGGACTCACTAAGTGTTGAAACTTGACTAATTCATGGAATAATAATGCAACACAAAATGTACTTAGAACAAAACGTATTGAAACAAGAAAGTGTACACAATATTTACATATAGTCTTTTGTATATTCCTGGTAAGACCGTTCCTGGAGAATGTGTTGACTGAGTCGCAGTCGGGCAGAGTCTCTGGTTGAATCTCTTGATTCCTCCCTCTTTTCCCGGTACCAACCATATTTATATGGTCGGTACTCCACTATGCAAATTAGGTGGATCCTACCACAACACTAAGTCATGTCGAAGTCTCATATAAGTTTTTTTTTTGATCATGTGGGAGGGTCGAGAGAATGTTTAGCAATTTTTTGGCAATTTGAACTCAAAACAGGTCAACTCGAGGTCAACCGTACGGGCGTAGACTGAAACATGTCATTATTATTTATGGACCCATCATAAAGCATTTTTTCGTACTAAACTCTACAGCCAATTTTAATGGGTTCAGCACAAACTGAGAATACTTAGTTGTGGTCCTCTTTTAAAAAGTTTAAAACAGTTAATGTAGAAATCTAATTCTACAATAATCCTTCCACAGTTTGTGAAGGTTTTTGCCAGAAAATTTTCTCAACAATGTACGTTTTAAACTTACAAGGCCAATTATCATGTCTGCTACACTTGGTAGTAACATCCGCCTCGTTCGCAAAGGTTAATAATTCTAATTATCTTTGTATTCTCTTAGTAAGAAGTAAGTTCCACTCGCATAGCTCCTTCACGCAAACTGCTGCTTTGTAAGACAGCCTTCCGGGAGCATGTTTTCTAGATCACTACAATCTTTACCTCTTCAAGACTGGGGTTAATAATTCTTCTTCCCTGCATAACTAGATGAACTTAATGTATCGCCTTTGCTTACACTCATACAACACCAAACAATAACTCTCTAGCTTGTTTGGCTCCTTTGCCCTGTATTGGGTGAACATTATTATAAAAATATTGATGCATTCCTGTATAAGTAAATATGTACGTATTTCTTCATATTTATATTTATGACTGATTATAGTATTTGACAGGTCATAACATATATTTTTTTAAACTATTCTTCTATTTCTCTTCTTCCATTCACAGAATTTTTAACATATTAGGAACATTTAAAAATTGGTAATTATATATCATGTTACTAATATGACAACAAACATCACACCTGACTTAAAGAAATAAAATCATTTTCGCCGATGGTGCAATCTCTGTCAGTAGTTCTGAACGTTCCCCTTTTCGTTGAAATGAAATAAAGATCATACTTTCGTAACCATTAAATTGTTTTCAGCTAAAATGAACTCTAATTAAATTAACATGATCCAGTTCATCCTTCTAAAGTGTAAGTCGATATTTATGCGTGAAGAAAGACTTTTAATTGCGAAGAAAGTGCTAAAAACACATATTTTTTGAAGTTGTTGGGAAAATGTGATGTAAAATATGTTATCTATCTGCGCTTTACCTCCTTAGTATTTACTTAATATTCTCTCGTTTTTCCATTAAAGGTGTTTCAGAACTAATTTAATTTGTTATTAGCCTGATCGTATAGCTACTTACCTGGCTTAGTTTATTAAGGTATATGAAGAATATGGCACATACGAAAATTATCTCGTGCTGAACAATACTTCCACTCCGTACCTATATATATATATATATATATATATATATATATATATATATATATATATATATATATATCGACCGACAAAAATATAGCAATTTCATTTGATGGTCAGATAAAAAGAAATATCAATGTTATCCTATCGTCAAAATAATTTGATGAAGCTCTTCATCAATCGGCCTAGTCTTTTATTTACAGTATGCCCGGGTTCCACTTGCTTACGTTAGAAGTTATTTTTATGGATAGGAGGGATGAAAACATTTAACACTAGACTTGAACAGGTTAAGATTGTATTGATCCGGGAAACATCCTCTTGGGAGTCTGTCCCTCGTGGCAGTGGTTCGCAGGAAGGAGCTGTTAGAATGAAACTTACTTCTCGTCGATGAAATACGGATGGGATTCGGGTGGTTTTCTGCTATGCGAGTAGCATGACGGGTCCTAGCCGTGAAGGGTAGAACTGATGCAACCAAGGAATCTGGTTCGTCTGAACACTTGAAGTAGCGATAGAACAGTGAGTGAATCTCCACATCCCGCCTGTGAGAGGGAGGTTCTAAGGTGGGAAATTGTTGTTAGAATTTTGGGGTACCTTGGTACTAGTGAGCCAGCCAAAATGAGCTGACTCATTTTATAGTTCACCAATAGAACGTTTAACAAATCAGAAGGCTCAAAATATTCAATGCGATGTATATAAAGGCGGCCATGTTTTTTCCGAATATTCACGGGCAGCCTTTGATATCGAAGACTGATGAATTACAGAAGAGCTGCTGGTGGTATTGGCGATATATTCAGATTCAGTAGAGTGTCTGACTCGTGAGAATTAATCTTTAACATTGTTTTATTGAACAGATTACGTACTGCGCTGTATTCTATATTCATAGACTATGGTGAAGATGGTTAACAATTCTTGTCCGTCAAGGATTCGGAAACGCTTTTGAATTCTGTCAAGACTAGAAAGTGTGAAGCTGGCAGCTCCTGCAAAAACATGGCCACAATACTCAATTTTCGGCTTCATCTGTTTCTTATGAAGGTAAAGGATAGTATGAGGTGTCAGGTACTTACTGAAGTGGTACAAGGAAGCGATCATTTTAACTACATTATTATCGTATGGATCGTATTTAAGAGTTCACTTGAGGTCGGTGTGTGTTGGAGGCCAAATATTCACTTCTTTGCTCATATTAAGTTTAATATTTCTAAATTAATTGTGAAACACTGACTTTGACTTTAGCTGTAGTATTATGCATAACGATTCAACATATTTTAAATTGCTTATTTTATATTTATGATCAATGATATAAAATATGAGACAATAATCCCTACTTGGTAAATAGCGTCGGTACAGAATTCTAGAAGTGAGTTCTACCAAATGTTAGCCAGTAGGTTAGTTTTATATGATGATTTTTCAGCTTTTATAGGATAATTTTGTCTTTTCTCTTTTCACATGTGAATATAATCGTACCTAAGAAAAAAGTGTTTCCTTTAGTCCATTCATGGTTTTCAAGGTCATTACTTCCCTTTATATATATATATATATATATATATATATATTACTTCCCTTTATATATATATTACTTCCCTTTATATATATATATATATATATATATATATATATTATATCCTTTACATATATATATATATATATATATATATATATATATAACCACATTCAGCTTGGTATTTTTCTTATTTAGCGTTAGCCACTTTAATTATTTATAAAGTCTTCCTTAAGGAATGCTCTGTCGTTCTTATAACAAAGTGTATTGAATGATCCTGGACGCAATCTGAACACTTCGACGTATTCTTCTGATGCAAAAAGAAAGTGAAAAGACAAAAGGAAAGAAACAGGTTCGCTCGGTTCAATTTCTTGCTCGCTTTGGCTGTCCTTTAGAAACACCGTCAAGAAACACATTTCTTTCGATCTTCCGGTGTCAATCTCGTTCGTTCTTTTATTCTTCCCCAAATTACTCAATCCCGGTGTTTAGTTTAAATTCACATATCGATATGCAAATCGCGTCACTCTCCCAACATACTGGCTTGTCTATTGTGTGTTCATTCTACTTGTATAAGTGTTGAAACTTGGATAAGCATGGAATAATAATAATACAACACAAAATGTACGTAAACAAAATGTATTGAAACAAGGAAAAGGTACACAATATTTACAGTTAGTTTTGGTATATTCTTGGGAAGACTGTTCCTGCATAATGGGTTGACTAAATCGCAGTCGGGCAGAGTCTCTCGATTCGATCTCTTCTTACTCTCCCGTCTTCCGGTACCAACCCATATTTATATGGTCGGTACTCCACTTATGTAAATTAGGTGTATCGTACCACAACAATAAGTCAAATTAAACTGGTTATTGCGAGGCCCAAGTTCGAATCGTAGCGGATTCAATTTTGTTTACAGCTGCAAACAGTGAATATTATCACACGAATTCTTTTCGCTGCGGGTGAACGACGCCTTCTCTCGGCGACTCCTTCGATATACTCCCCCGTGATGTCTTCATCGCAAAAACTGCAGATGTGTGCACGCCTCTTCATTCGGGCGCTCCTTCGGAGTGGGGGAGATATGAATTCTTCCTGGAACGAAGTACATCCAATACAGTCCTCAACTGTTTCGTCATCATTTTCAGAGGCTTCCGAACTACTGGTGTCAGAGGTATCGTCTAGCGATAACCATCTTAATGTTTCCAACGGTTCGCCTTCTTCTGACGAGACACTGGTGTTACTGAATGACACACGCGCTCCTGAACAAAGGCGAACGGTTTTTTTTTTTTTCGTGAGGAGGGTTTCCATTAACAAGCAACTCTTGGGAAATGTTGGTTCCTGTCTCCCGGCTAATCCTCGGCGCACTCTTACACCTGCTGTGCAGGATCCTATCCCATAAAGAATCCCCCATGATCATGAACAGCTTGCGGTTCGAAGGTGGCCACTGAATCTCCCGTGTCAGTAAATTTTCCATGGTCAACGTTTCGATGTCCTATGCTTGTTGCATTTCCCTTGAGATGTCATTGGGGAGCCATGTCACGAATGGCAGTAAAATCGCCATCTCATGATTGCGCCTAGTGAACCCTGCAGTTCCTGCAAGTTGTCATATTTTGTTGTCATAAACATTCATGCGCTCTCCTGCCCACCCAACCAGTTTAAGCTTTGTGTAAGCAGAGAATGCCCCATCCGAAAATACCTCCTTTAACCGTGCTTCAATCAGGTCGAGGTTCGTCTGCTGATCCGTGTCCATCTCCAAATAGAATCTCCCTACAAATATAAAAGTAAAAGGCTTGCCACGATTTCTATTTTTTGAAATATTGCCATCAGCTGCAAAATCTTGATCATGCCACCACATCTCCGTCGCCATAGAAGGAATTTTATATTGCTGGGTTTAAACTTTGCCATTTTGGTGAAGTCAGCAATGTCGAAATAGTTTGAAATAAAAAGAAAAGTAAAGTAAAAAACAAAAGAAAATAAACACGGTCGCTTGTCTTATTTCCTTGCTCACCCTGGCTTTCCTTAAACCCGCTCGTTCTTTTATTGTCTCCCAAATTACTCGATCCAGGTGTTTGTATTGGATTCTTATATGCCTATGCAAATCACGTCACTCACCCACCGTCCTGACTTGTCTATAGTGCGTTCATTCTACTCGGATAAATCAACTGGTTATTCCGAGGCTGAAGTTCATATCGCACTGCAATCAATTCTGTTTACGGCTAAAACAATGCATGTTGTCACGCGAATTCTTTTCGCGGCGGGCGAACGAATCTTTCTTCTCCGTTATTCGTTCTTAAACAACCATAATAAAATTGATAGATCCTCGTGGTATATCCTGGTGAATATATATCTCTAAACTTAACATCATCATCTTCTATCAGATAATTTCTTTAAATGCTCTAAATTTACTGGAATTGTTAAGTCTATTATAAAACTCTAAATGCCTAAATAAGCAAAACTACCAACAGCCAACAACGTATGGAGGATTGTTGTTTCTATGTGCCGTGTCCCTTCAGGACGTAGGTGATCATGGCTCTCCACTTTTCCCTATCCCTTATAGCTCTCAATAAGTTTCGTCCCACTGACCCCTAAACCCAGACCCTGATCTGTCATCCACTTGCTTAAGCCTTCGTCTTCGTATCACAGTGTCAGACTTACCGTCATCTGTCAGAACGCTTCCTAGATATTTAAACATTCGCACCTGCTCGATTTTATTGTTCCCGACATGTAAATCGCATTTTGGCTCATCGTTTTACGGATGATCATGCATTCTGTCTTCTTGTAGTTTATGCTTAGACCTTTCTTCTCGCTCGTCTTCGCTATAATAACGCCATTATGACAAGACAAATTTTGCTAGCATGTGATGCGTCAATTATTTTATTTGTGGTTCGACAACAATCCATGTGAAAAGACGATTGGTTTTATGAATTTCTATTGCACAGAAAAAGAACCGGATTTGCAACCTTCAGGTCAACGAAAGACAAGAGAAAAAGCAAACGAAATGCGCGGAAGGACAAAATATGCAGCGGAACGTCGAGGAGAGCACATGCATCGAGGGCGTCTATTAAAGCCAATGCAACAGGATATGCTTTTTCTCGTCTAAGCTTCGCTAATCATCTAGAGGACTTGAAAATTACGGGAAACACCTTTCCAAATTGCCGTTCCAGGAGCGACGCCATCAAACAAAGCACATATACACACACAGAGACACGTACATTAACAAATACACACACGAGCACACGTGAACACACACACACATGTATATAGGCAAACGAAAGATAAATAGATGATTAGAAATTGATAGATAGATAGATAGACAGGCAGACAGATATGGATAGCTTAAGATAGATATGAAGAGACTGCAATAAATATATAGATAGGTATATAACAAATTGAGATAGATATATAATGAATAGACTTTTACATATATATATATGTGTGTGTATATATATATATTTATATATGTAGTTAGCTATTAACAGGATGATATATATATATATATATATATATATATATATATATATATATATATAATAATATAGAGATAGATACAAAGAGACTGCGTTAGATAGATTGAGATAGATAAAGAATAGACTGACATATACGGGGGAGAAAAAGAGATAATGAATAGACCGAGGTATATAACGAATTGACTTATATATATATATATATATATATATATATAAATAAAAAAAAGATAGATAGGAATAGACTGTGCTATACAGATAGCTAGATAAATAGACATATATATTGAGATAGGTAAAAAAAAAATAATGGTATATATATATATATATATATATATATATATATATATATATATATATATATATATATATATATAGGAGAGAGAGAGAAAGACAGATAATTAATAGAGATAAATATTGAACAATATTGACAAAAAATATTGGCTAAAGCAAGACCAAAAGGCGAACCCATCGCTACACCGTCAATCTGCCGATAAATAATATTATCGAAACTAAATTCAACAGACGAGGTTTCGAACTTCATGAGATCAATAAATACACTCTGCGGAAAAGAGGAGGCAAAGAGGTACGTTGCAACATATCACAACAAATCTCAATTGTTTCACATAAGGGAACACAGGTAAACAAAGAACACATGAACCCACCATTTGAAGAGGGATTACGTATAGTTTCAACAAAGGAGAATGAATCTTTAATACTATAGGTACTAATATATATATATATATATATATATATATATATATATATATATATATATATATATATATATATAAAAGTTTAATTCATATATATATATATATATATATATATATATATATATATATATATATGAATTAAACTTTTATGTGGAATAATCTTTTGTGTCAGTTCATTTGGAATTAGGAGATTTTGAATATAAATAACCAAACCACATGAACAGGAATAACCAAGACAGGCATAGAGTGTTTTACATTTTTAAGCACTATTTAATGTTTTCTTTAGAATATAGCATTCGAATTGCAATAAATTACTCCATGAAGAAACACAGTGCCAAAAAGGAGTATCAATTTTGGCATCCACCAAACTTATCTCACTTAAACTTCTGAATTTGTGTAAGGAAATACGTTAGAAAATGTTTGTGTTTATTTTTTCGGATTCATTTCAAAATGAAAGAAACATGATTTTCATGAATATTTAACAGGATTTTTTCCTGATGAATATGGTATTCATTTTAACCATCTGCTTCAAAATCATATCGCAATTGTTTTGCAGTATACATCAGCTTATTCGAAATGATGACACCTGTTAACAACAACAACAATTTACGAAAAAGTTATGTTCCTTCGTTTTCTGTTGAATACAGCTGTTCGACTGGCAACATGTAAGAAACAATTTATTATTTTCAGTTGTTCAAAACATATCAAAACGAAATACGAATACGATCATAATGTACTGACCGTATCCGACAATTAAAATTTAAGTTTACCTATCTGCAACATCGGCTTTGTAGCAGCATAATCAATATCAATGAAAATTAATAATATATTAGCCTGGACCTAATGAAATATCTATTAGAATGGGACTGTTTTCCCCACATATATATATATATATATATATATATATATATATATATATATATATATATATATATATATATATATATATAACTCTGTGTGTGAACACCAGTCAAGGGTGTTTTCCTCAAAATTGTTTGTGTTAACACCGAATCGAACATCACTTTTGGCAAAGTTTAATAATTTATAATTACTGATCCTCCTGAAGAACAAAGGTGTAATAATAATAACAACAATAACTAATATGGAATAATTATCTTACTCTTTAATTTAATTTAATATCACTAGCAGTTTTATGTAAATATCTTTGGACTAATAAGATCACAAGCGATGCTGGTTGAGGAGCTATTTCGAAGGTCATTTGTAATTTGAAAGTGTAGCTTAAAGATGAATAGTTTTGTTCTGATGATTAATAGTTTGAGTAAGACGAAACGCCATATTTGTCTATGCCGTTGATCACGAGGAAACGTATTTTTCTTAAGTGAAATGAAGTTAACTTATTATGCGTTTTGATTTTTTTTTTCATAGATGTCACTGTTGAGGAAATTATAGAAAATTTCTGTCATATTAGTTCGTTGAAATTAAACGTTGTAGCAAACAGGTGTGCATTGAATAATCGAGTTCCAGTCGGGTTTTATTTGGGATGTGGAAATTCTCTCACTGATCTATCGCTGCCACCATGGAAAGTGTTCGAACGAAAAACATTTCTTGATTCCGCCAGTTCATCCATTCACGTCTAGGAACCGTCATGCCATTCACATATTAGCAAACTACCCAAATTCCCTTTGTACTCCATCGGCGAGAAGTTTCACTCGAATAGCTTCTTCTTGGAACCACTGCCATGTGGAACAGACTCCCAAGGGGATGTTTACCCAATAACTACAATCTCAACCTGTTCATGTTTAGCTAACCTTTACCATTCATATAAAATAACCTTTAACGTAAACCTCTACTTCGAGTGGCATTCAAGCCTTACTGTAATTAAAACGCCAGGCCGATTAATGAAGAGTTTCATCAAATTAATTTGTCTATAGCATATAGTGATATTTTTATTTGACCACCAAATGAAATATATATATATATATATATATATATATATATATATATATATATTGGCGCTCGAAGAGAAATAATATATATTAGCACTAGTTGTAAAGCACTATACTAGTCTATGCATATATAGAGAGGAACAGAGAGGAAGTATTGTTTTAAAACTATTTAATAGTTTGAAGAATGTCCTCAGCTTTGTCCTTTGTTTTGCTCAATGTTCATG